AACATGTCGAAGCTTAAAGGGAAATCGTAGTCGAACCTCTAGTCGACCCCTGGTGAAAGACTAGTTGGTCGAGTACTTAGAGGTTGACCTTTAACAGGAGGTGAAAACGAAAGCGAATTTCGGAAAATTAATAAAGTCCAAACCGCTTTATTTGGGGTGACATGCAGTTTAATATAGACCAAAATAGATTTCTGTTAATCGTCAAGTAAACGATGAAATTAATCAATCAACATTTCCTTCATCCGATCAATCAATCAATTAGTGGATGACTAAATGAATGCAAGATGGAGCGAATGAAAGAGCAAATGAATGGAAGAGAAAGATGCTTACTCTGTTTCGTTGACTATCGGAATTAACAGGGTCCTCAAATGCTAACAAAACGCTACTAATGAGAATGATAAAGAGGATGAAAGTATCGAAGTATCGTAGATTAACCAACCAGTGACAAAAACGACGAACCCTGTGCAAAAAAGGGAACAAAAATTGTTAAATCTGTTAGAGATGGAAATGTCAATTCAGCCAATCATGCAATCAGTTAATCAGTCAATCAATCAATCAATCAATCAATCAGTTAATCAGTCATCAATCAATTAATCAATCAATCAATAAAAAGCCAGCAAATCAGTCTGTCAGCCAGTCAATCAATCAATCACGTACTAATGAATATGTAATAGACTTTGAAGCCTCTACGTCATAAACCACGTATACGCAATGCATTGTAGGATATGTTTGGGACAGAACATGGCGGAATTCTTTTGTTTTCTCTAGAAATTACTCCTACAATGCATTGAAAATTACGTAGTGACGTAAAAGGTTCAGAAGTCTATTATATTAATATAATTATCAAGTTACATACGGATTATCGGGACCAAATATAAACATCGAGCTTTTTCTTATTATTGGCGTGTTGGTTCTCTGAATATTTCGTCTTCGCATTATTCKTCCTTCTGCTCGAAAACTCAACGAAAAGTTTCGTGGAGAAGGCGTTCGACTCAAACTTTCTATAAAACATAATAATAACAATATATAGAGACACATTTTTCTTTGTATTTTCAAAGTGTTGAGATTTATTATATATCATATCATACTTTGTTAAACTGGGGTTATTAAACTTTGTTTGAAGGACCATGGTCAACCGGGAATTGCGAATGGATGTTTGAAGGTCACCCCTTTCACCATATATAATAATAATTCTTTATTCCATACTGAAAAATCGAACAGGACCCCTTTTTATATCGGTCAACCATCGTCCTTTAACGGGTTTTGTGTGCAGACACCCTGATAGGAGCGTTTGTTTGATGTGTTTGGGATGATGGGATACCTGTGTCTTCACCCTCATCTTCTCGTTCATTGTCCGTAGTATCTTGTCGAGAAATACGACCATTTCTGCTTGACACTGATGGAGAATCCTCAGAGATTTTAACCTTAAAGAATAAAGAAACTGCTACCATCTATGTCCAATGACACTGAATTGCATTATGCTGATAATAACGTCCTCTACCGTTGACACTCTCTATTGTGGACACGTAATTACAATCCCGAAGGTGTCCGTTATAACGAGAGCTGACTGTACTTAAATAACTGCCTTTGCATCGGACACTCGCTATTGCGGACGCTTAATTACAATCCTGAAAGTTCTTGTCCGTTATAACGAGTGTCGGGTGAACTGATCATTAAGGGGGTTTATACTTACTCGCAAGGCACTGTTTTTGCTGAAGCGTCCTCCCCTGTGTAGTTACAAATAATCATGATATTAAATTATATTTTGTTTTATTGCTCTACACATTGTAGCACTGACAGAATGTTCATCTGGGAGGGGAGGGGAGGGGGGAAGGGGAAAACAAAAGATTGTTACTCTCTTGGGAGCTAGTAATGTAAGTGAGGTATGTGGTATACCTTGGTTGTCGATAAGGGTCTATCGTAGCACTCCATATATGGATGTACATAGTTTTCAAAGACTAAACTTAAGCTTAAAATAATTTTTTGATGGCGARCATGAAGATTCGGATCCAGCTCTATATATTGCCTAACCCTATAGCTTCTTGAGATCCTTTGCTATYTGAAATTYGAMGTTTCACGTAATGTTTYAGCTGCTRAAGTACTAACCTCGGTGAATGGTGCTCCATTTCAATAACAGGCTTAGAATTAGGAAACGGATTGTTGCTATTATGTTGGTTAATTTTGGTTATWGCCATGATCATTGGGAGCTGTTTTGCCTTAGCCCACCCCCCATTAGGTCTTTTWTCTTGTCGGCGTTTTTTATTCTGTTCTCTTTGCCTTTCGTCTTCCTCTTCCAGTCGTGTGAGGGCCTGGGCATTAGCAAGDTTGTCAACAGCGATAGCCAGAAATACGTTTAATAAAGTATCTGATCGTTTTGGTTAAGAAGTAATATTTGGTATATAGTTATACGGATACTAACATTGGAAGACTRCATACAACACTCGGAGAAYACTCGCACAAGACTCGGCTAACTCTCGGRAAACACACGGAAAGCGCTCGGAAAAGCACAGGCGACCCGAAGACCTTAATATGTATATGTTGATTATATTATTTGGATACAATCTCCAATGATAACAAGCGYAACAAAGTAAAGCGAAGCCAGAATCCCCCCGACAGTCTTCGGACCCCCTGCGGCCTCGATACCATCGTACATAACTGTATTCCAGTCTTCGCCGGTCATGATCTAAACATAAAAAAAAACGACAAATGCAATTGAAAATAATTTAATTCAGATGTTTTTTTCTGTAGCTATATTGGACGAGGCTTAAAAACTGTTTTCTCGTAGTTTCATATTGTACATTTACATTTACATTTTACATTTTCATATTGTACACGATCGCTTTGTAATTCTTCAGTCAATGGATTCTGTTTAGTCATGGTAATGCTCTGTAAGGGYTTACTTAAGGATGATTTCTTACCTGGAAGACTGCTAACATTGCTTTGACAAAACTATCAAAATTCGTYCTTGGTGCATCCAGGCGTTTGCTAAATCTGTGAAGTTAAAGAGAYGATCGATATGAGAAAATAGGATAGTGACGCTAGTGACRATAGAYGASGCATTGGTCATTGATCGATTGGAAAAAAGAACGTACGCACGCTTGYGATGATTKCTCGATATGAACAAATGATATAGTACGAGTATGGTGATTGGTCGATTGAGCAGTGAATGGGAGAATAAACGAACGAATGACATAAAAAGAGAAAAATGGATGAATAGATGAACGAGTGATCGGGCTGTCATTACATTATACTTACTTTCCACCAAACAACTGCATACCCAACAGCGCGAAAATAAAAATAAACAACAGTAGTAGAAATATAAGACTGAGAATGGACCGCATGCTTTTGAGAAGTGACGTYACAAGGTTTCGTAATGATGACCACACCCTTAGAGGAGAAAAAATATCAGATTAGACACCCACGTGATTGATTTTTAACCAATCAGAGAGCAATTTTCAACAAATGATTTTATATTCTGAATCAAAGCAAAGCATCGCAAAGATTCTCGGGTACAAGTGCGCCTTTAACTATGACACTTCGAAGACCAATGGATCGCTATGGTACACATAGACCCCCCTTGCAGTCCATGGTAATGCAGCTCCAACTGGAGAAAAAAAAAAACGGATTCTAGTTCCCAAGAAACCGGAAATCTTTTGTTCCGTCCTAYTGATGAAGTTGCTTTGACGTCACATACAATGGGTCTATATATTGATTGTATAGAACTAGTACAAGCATAGTACATTCATACCTTGTGAATTTAAAAACTCTTAAAAGTCGAAGACTTCGTAATACGCTACTACCAAAGCTCATTTTTGTATATCTCTCCACGAACAACTCGGCGATACCAGATAATACAACCTATCATTAAAACATAACTATCGATAAATAACATTTACACCTAATTACACARGCGTTGTCCAAGAAAAAGAACTTTTACTATTTAGGAATTGATTAAATACTAAAGAAAGTGTTCGGCTGCAGTGGTCWTCTTTTGTCTTTTAATGTATTCCTAATTTCCTAAAAAACTTTTAAGTTATTTAAAMATCTCAGGACAACGTTTTCGTCTCAGTCTAGTACGGAGGTATTGTACATTTCCAACCATTCCCATGAGATTCAAAAGATAAAAGACCGGCTGCCATGTTGGAGGAATGAACAATAGATACTAATGAGAAATCCTTTGTTGAAGTCTGGGGCGGATCCAGGGGAGGTGCTTTGCGTGCGGACGCACCCCCCCTTTTTTGGATGATGTTTTTCAGTATAAACGTTTTTTTCCTGCTGTTTATGCTCCTGTTGTACTTTTATCGAGAAAACGAATAGCATACACAGCATGTGTCTGCCACTATGCTGCTTGACAATCTATTTGAGTAGTGTAGTCAAAGATACGTTGCAATAAAAGTCAATTTGCTTCCGGTCAAACTGTGCATAATTGTCTTCCTCTAGACTCAATACGCAGCTAATAAAAATGATCAGTTCAACCTGCTATACTTTAGCTATATATCACTGACAAAAGCACCCCCCCCTCCCTTTAAATGCTGGATCCGCCCCTGGAAGTATCTCCAAGATGGCCAATGTACGAAGTAACTTGCAAACCAGCAATATGGAATCAGCTTTTTTTTGTCTCAGGGATCACTTTCGTCATTTTTTGGGCTCAGGAATCAGATTTTAGATTTGGAATCGRCAAGGACAAGTGCACAAAAAGAAATAAAGAGGCGAAACGTTGCTTTACTTACTATAAAATCAAATTTGTTAAATGCTGAATTAAAATAATTTCTTGGTTCCAGACCATAAAGTTTGAGAAGCATTTCAACTATAAATATGCCAAGGAAAACTTTTTCTGAGATTTCTGTGGAAAAGAAAGAAAAAACTGATTAAAACACGAATTAAAGTGACTACAATTCTGGGTATTACGAACGCTGTAATTAAGTGTCCGCAATAGCGAGTGTTCGCTTTAAAGGGGGTTATTTTCAGTACATTCAACTCTCGTTATAACGATGTAGAAATGAAAGAAAGTTATAGTGCTTAGAAAGAGGTACATTACCGCAACCTAACATCTATTTCACCACGACCTGCTTCCAGTCTGGCCTTGTATCTCAGCTGGTAGAGCATCGGTAGTAAAAATCCGATGGTCGTGGGTTCGAATCCCGGCGAGGTCGGAAATTAATTTTTCCCAATTTATTCCTAAAGGGTCTTTCTCCCGGAATTGCCTCCTTCTAAGCACTATAACTTTCTTCCATTTCTATTTAACAATTAGACCTCGAGGTCGAGTGGACTACGAGCTAATAGCCCATGAGGCCGAGTCCGCGAGGCCGAGTCCGCGAGGCCGAATGGGCTATTAGCTCGTAGTCCACGAGGCCGAGAGGTCTAATTGTTTTAGTATAAACATACTAATCGGTCAAATAATGAAAAAAAATTGAAATATCCTTAAAATGATTTATAATTTATAATTTATTTATTTTGATTTTCCCGCGAGTGGTCTAACACAAATTAGACCATTAGTAGAGTAGCCAATCACAGCGCAGTATGAGTGATAGACCATTAGTATGTTTATACTAAATCGTGTTAATCATAGTGCCATGCGGTCCTCATATTCATGCATATCTTCTCGTTATAACGGACACCTTCATGTATTAAGGTCCGTATTATCAGGGTGACTGCAGGCGACGTTAAAGTGTTATTGTGCATACCTTGTGTCTTGTCTAACCAATACGGTTGGTCGTAGTGCTCGGTCAACATGATAACAGTATTCAAAAATACACACAATAAGACGCCCCAGTAAAACACGGAACTTCTGACCAAAGACCTTATATGACCTCTTAGTAATCGTTCTTTCTTTTTAAACTTTCGAACTATAACATATCTAAAATAAGAAATAAAGCAATTTAAGCTTGACAATCAAATTTTCATTGTGTTCGATCTATTTGAGAAAGAGAGGATCGAAAAAAGATGCAAAAGAAAAAGAGGAAAATGAAGAGAAATGAGAGAGGACTAAGGAGAAGCTGAAAAAAAATTAGAAGTCAAAGAAAAGGAGAAAGAAGAAAAAAGAGATGAATGAGAGGAGGAACAGGAAAAATAAAAAAAAAAGAGATTATCGGTATTACACATATAGAGTATACGTAATGTTACGTACCTTATATACACATATAGGTTATAAGTAGTGCGTACGTAAAGAGTATCTGTAGTACGCGTATAGAGTATACGTAATGTTACGTACCTTATATACACATACATGATATAAATATTGCGTACGTATAGAGTATCTGTAGTACGCGTATAGAGTATACGTAATATTACGTACCTTTCAGACCATGATAGAGTTCCCTGTGATTTTCTTTTATTTTTCAAATGTTGTATGATTTCTCCATGGTCCTCTATTAGATGCATGATAGAATCAGACAGACTATAACGTTTCTTTAAAGGATCCCTTGGTCCTCCTAAAAAATACATTTAAAAGGGTGATCTTTAAGGCTTTTCTCTCTTTTAGTTTGAAGCTTGTTTCTATGTAGTCTCCTTCGCAGCCTACCCTTTTGTCGGGCTTCTGTCCCTCCCAAAAGAAGGAGGGAGGGACAGGAAGCCCGACAAAAGGGTAGGCTGCGAAGGAGACTAGTTTCTATGAGAAAGACTATTTGTTTAATACCCACCTTCTCCTACACCATGTTGTTCCCGGTCTTCTCGCAGCATTATATCTTCAGCTTTGTTGATCCACTCTAAATAATCATCGAACATTCGTTGCATTTGCTGTTGTCTCCGTAGTTTAAAAAATTTCCGCCGGTGTTCAACGCGTTCTCTTTCTTTAGCAAATTCACTAAATAAAATAAAAATAGAACTACAGTCAACTCTCGCCTTACGGACACCCCGCTACAACGGACACCTCGATAGTGCGGACAATGAAATACTGAATCCCTGGCGAAAAATATAAAGAAATGACTGAAAGTAACTCTCGTTACTACGGGCTCTCGCTACTGCGGACACTAAATTTCGGTCCCAAGGGTGTCCGTAATAGCGAGAGTTGACTGTAATGACAAGATGTGATATAACTGAGTTAGTACGTCCGTGGTGATTGGTTGACATAGATAGTACACATGTGGTGATTGGTCGAAATGAAAAAATAAGATATTACGCTAGTGATGAGTGGTCAATATGAACAAATGACATAGTACGCATATGATGATTGGTCGATATGAACAATTGAGATATTACGCTAGTGATGATTGGTCGATATGAACAAATAACATAGTACGCATACGATGATTGGTCCAAATGAAAAAAATTGGACGATATGAACAAATGACATAGTACGCATGAGGTGATTGGTCAATAATGGAAGATAAGCTAATACTTTTACAGATGTGTTTATACTTACCCACTCAATACTCCAAGTACTAAGTTTAACATAAAAAATGAGCCAATCATAATAAGAGAAATATATATTGTCGATGTCAGTAACCGGTTATTGTAGTCACGTGCATCGTAGCTCTGTCGAAAAAAATAAAAAATAAATAAATATAAAATACAATAATCATTATTACAGAACATTAAGTTTGTTTTGACGCAGTGCACTCAATCTACTCAATAAATCGATAAAAGTACCGAGACGGCGGATGTTTGATAAAAACTACTAAGATGTACTAAGGATCGAAGTTAATTTGAAAAATTAATGTTATTCGTCGTTGAGAATGCTTTGGTAGAATATAGATAAAATGATTGTATGCTAGAGTATAAAAAAGACCCCTCAGGGAAACTAGTAGTGCTTGCTGTTCGCAAAACAGCCTGAAGCACAACATGGCTTTCGGTGGATCATTCCTCAATCCCATCATGCATCTCGCCGTATCTCGCATTGCGTCAATAAGAGAAATGGAGCATTATGGGGAAATTAAAACATCTAAGCATTATGGGAAATAAAAACATCCAAGCATCATGGGGAAAAAACAACAAAGGATTATGGGAAATAATAACATCAAAGGATTATTGGAAATAAAAACAACAAAGCATTATGGAAAATAAAAACAACAAATAATTATGGGAAATATAAACATCAAAGCATTATGGGAAATTAAAATATCAAAGCATTATGGGAAATAAAAACATCAAAGCATTATGGGAAATTAAAATATCTAAGCATTATGGGAAATAAAAACAACAAAGCATTATGGGAAATACAATGAGTAGGACTTACATGATACATTATGTCAGTCCAACCCTCCATGGTGATACATTGAAATACAGTTAACATTGATAGAAATATATTGTCAAAATTTGTTATGCCCTTATTTGGGCCTGGCCATACAATGTCATTTCTTTTACATGTGTAGTTTGATGGACATGGTCGACCGGAAGTCGAAAGATCACCGCCGCAAATCTTTGGCGGAGAATAAGTTTTATCGATAGCTTCTGCAAAAAAAAAAGGAAAATAAATTTAGTAAACATAAAAAATTAACTTTTGACCACACGTGTGTAAATTCTCTCGCGCTGATTGGCTGATTAGAGAGTGTTAGCGATAAGAGGACATGCGCACTGCGCTGACACCACGTCTCGCGCGCGCGCTCAATTGAAATAAAAGAATGATTGTCGCTAATTTTTTAGACTAAAAATGTGGTAAAAACAAATTGCACACGGTTTTTCGTTGTCTGTCTTCTTATTGACACACTCTTGACGTCATAAAATATTCAAAAATTGCAGTGAACTACTTGAGTTTTGAACATTTTATGACGTCAAAAGTGTGTCTAAAGAGGACATGCAACTCAGAACCGTGCGCAATTCGTTAAATAGACATGTTGCGAACAAGAGAGTTTTCCATCAATTGCAAGTATTCAGTACATTTTCTGATAGTTGTGTCATAATCTCACCTTGATTTAGATCATTATAACAAGTGTAATGGAATCTCCCTTTTAAAAGTTCTAATCCTACAATGGCGTATATTACAATGACGAACAGGATGAGTACAAGGATTTGTAGTAATGGAACCATGGCCCTCCATATTGTTTTCATAACAACTTGTAAACCTTGTAGAGATAAAGAAAATACACGTACTTAATCCATGAATAAAGTGGTCTTCATAAACCCATGAAACGAAGTGAAATAGTCAGATTCAGACAGCTCACATTCGACGAATCGCCCTCAATCCGTGAATCGACAAAGGAAAACGCGCAAAAAAGAAAAGGACACTCAGGTATATTTCGCGGAGTCTTTTTTAACCTCTAAATCCGTGAAACAATCTGAATCAAATTATGAATATAAAATGACTTACTTGGAATACCCGACACAATCTTAAGAGGTCTCAAGACTCTTGCTGCTCTTAAAACTTTTAAAGTGTCCTTTTGTTGAGTAAGATCATTGTTCTTTAGACTTTCAACTGAATCCCATATAAAACCTATGAGACTGGAATAACCATAAGAATCCATTAGTAAATAGATGAATAAATGAGAAAATRAATGAATGGATGGATGGAGGAATGAATAGATGAACAAATGAAGAAGTTCCTCGAAACAACATTGAAGTCATCAAATGACAACTATTAAGCTAGATTTTTAATTGGATATSTGTGAAGATATARAGGATATTACATGGGCGCGCGGAGATACGGATTTTATCTTCGAGTGTTGAAAAGATMTCTCACGAGTGAGGGTAGCCAACGATAAAATTCGTATCTCCAAGCGACCATGTAATATTCTGTTTATCATATAATTACATATGAAAGTAAATTATGTAGTAAAATAGCTTTTAAAGATATGTATTCTATATTATCATGATTATCATGATTATAATGATGATGGTGATGATGATAATGATGATGATGATGATTTCATCATTTTTGAAAGAGAAATTACAGCTTGCATGGAAAGCCATACAAACGAGACTTCCTATAATTACAATTATTCATTTTGATGATTTGATTTTTTAGCGWCTGGATTCATTTTCATGAAAATGACACGTTGCGTGTTTGGTTCTCTTGACAAACTTTATTCTTATAAATAAAGTACACAATCTAAAACAAAGATTTTTCTCGGAMTGACTGCACTTTTTGTTTCATGATAACCTAGAAGTCAAGAAGTACGTTTTAGACAAGAAGGCGCCATTGTACTTGAGGTGACTTCCTCCTCCTTACTTCTAATGAATTCAAGATGTTACATTATCGTGATGTGTTTGGTTTTCACTCACTCAATTGGCCTCAATAAACCCAGCTTTTAGCGATCTCTTTTACACTGTGTCAGCCTCAAAACCATGTAATTTCTTCTTTTTTCGGTACGTGGAAATGCAAGAGAGCTGCGAGTATAGATGACAATGAAAACAAGTTGGAAATCTCACGAGTTTTATCTAAATTTCACGTTCATATTTTACATACAAATGAGGCTAACACAGTTTTAAGCCTCGTGACACTTGCGATTGCAGCGCAGAATCAAAAATACTGTTCCCCACAATATCGGACACTAATGATGATATTGCCCCTTGATATATCGGACACTAAAATACTGTACCTCGCTAAACCGGACACTAAATACGTTCCCTCGCTATATCGGACACTAAAATATTGTTCCTCGCTATACTGGACACTAAAATACTGTCCCTCGCTATATCGGACACTAAAATACTGTACCTCGCTAAACCGGACACTAAAATACGTTCCCTCGCTATATCGGACACTAAAATACTGTTCCTCGCTATATTGAACACTAAAATACTGTCCCTCGCTATATAGGTCACTGAAATACGGCTCCGACCGTGTCCGTAATATCGAGTGTTGGCTCGTACATCATACTGACATCAATATAAAGGCCTCTAAAGACTTTTTGACGCATGACCAATATTATATGACAGGATAGGTTATTTCCAGTGACAGAACGCATGCCTCATATTTACACCACKACACCTGGCTGCACCTGCGTGCTAGTCCTAGTTACGTCATAATCTATTTWTGGTAATCACCTGACAACATRGACAAATATGGTGGGAAAACAAGGAAGGCGATCAATTTGATATCMCAAGATGGTTATTTTGATAAATCCGTAAGTCAACACGTGCAATAATAGAAACCTTCTTTCACAATTATTTACACAGGTAGTCTATCATTGCATACTCGACGGTTGTCTCGCTTCAATGTAATAGATGAGGTGACGGTTTTGGCAGCCATCTTGGACCGGTAGGCAAAGTGTCGCAAAATAACAAGGAATGACCRGGAAATCGATGTCAAATAATTCTCGCTGAATTCAAATTCGGAAAGAATTATTAATWGCGAACGTTAGATACTACAAAAAGGAGTTAACTGGCCAAACTTGAAGAACTTACTTCGCGAGTAAATTTGTTTTTAGTTCACAATACATTTCTTTGTATTTTTCACGCGCGTCACGCGCTAATGACGAAGGAAAACCGTCACCTCATCTATAGTATGGCTACCATTCAAGATTGCGCAGGTAACCGTGAAGGAGACTATTTGCTACRGCATTGCCTCGCAACATTCCTCGCAATTTTTAAACGCATGTGCGACAATATACAGCAATTTCAGAAAACGTTGAATGCTSTATTCTGCATAGTGCATTTCAAGACCGCAATGCATTGTTACTCTTAAACTCTACGTTAGCTGAAAGTGACAATTCTAAACATTGCTTTTCATGGACGTTTTTGCCTTTAATAAGGAGCTGGTATAGTCACTCTGAAACCTCCTTTTGAAAGCGACCAAGTGCATTTCAGTCTTGGAATACACTATTTTTAATATAGTTAACTCTCTTTGAACGACCACTCTAGTAAGCGACCATCTCCCGTAAACGACCACCGTTTTGTTCAGTCACCCATATAAACTCTGTAAAAAAAAAACTTTCTCGTAAGCGACCATCTCTCATAAGCGACCACTTTTTTCTGATCCCGAGGTGGAGAGTTGACTGTGTTCAAAGTTTTCTGAAATTGCTGTATACGATAAACTGTACATTTTCAGTTCAGTGTCATATTGCAAATCATCGCCGTCTACCAAAATCCCATAAACCTATAACAGATTATCCTATTCTCCTAAGAATCATCACGAAATGCTTCAGGAACATGCTAATCAACATTAGCGTAAATGACATCATCGCAAACGCGTCATTGTTACGACTACACGTCTGAGGTACCTACATCATAACCAATATGGCGTTCAGCACAGTACAATTTACATTTTGGGTTTAGATTTGCCGGTCTCTGATCGAGTCGGTAATTCTACACGATAATGTTTCTGCAAGCTCAGAAGCAGATATGTAAGCAAGTTATCAGAGATATGCCAAAAAATGAAATAAATATAATATAGTGATTTTCAGAGAGAATCGTGGCTACTACTGAACTATATCCATTCAATATAGAATATAATCAGTAAGAAATTGTAAGAAGATTATTTTATAATTTATTATCATATAAAAAATTAGAGAGGATAAAAAATGAATTAAGACGCCATGCAATAGAATAGAATAGAATAGAACAGAACAGAATAGAATGGAATAGAATAGAATAGAATAGAATAGAATAGAATAGAATAGAATAGAATAGAATAGAATAGAATAGAATAGAATAGAATAGAATAGAATAGAATAAAGCTAACGATGGAACTTAGTATAGCGAGGAATACAATGCTTTTCTAATTGAAATAGAATAATAGATAGAATCAAAATAAGATTTGGCTAAGACAATTAAATCTATGTAAAACAGAGGCTTTTAGATCAATATCGAGAAAATGTTTTGAAGAAAATGTTATATCTTTCAAAATACTAATATTTTGCCAACATGCATTGACCAAGGCCTATTAAATCCTTGATGAACCGATTTCAACTTTACGCTTTGACCGACAGAATCATTTTATAATTTTTCATTCTCGYCTTTCGTTGAAATCATTTTGATATATYAATTTAGAATAGATACAGAATACTCGAAAGAAAAATCTAGACAATAAAAAACTCGCTTCTGTCACTTGACAACCCGCGTCTGAATGAAAATGTTTTATTCAAAAACAAATCAACACAGGTTTTTCTCGTCTGATCAAGAAAAWATATGTTTGTTGGCGAARGGAAGGACATAAATACCTTCCAAATGATTTTCAAATGTGTTATTAATCCSAAAAAAATATTTAGGATATATATGAACCTTTTGTATTTAGWATTTTATTATTGTTATTATTATTATTATTCTGACGTAAATGAACTTATATCAGAGTTCAAATTCAATGGACTTATTTCAAGTTGTAATGTAACAATTCTTCATCTACATTAGTAATGTATTGACTTAGAGAATAAAGCCACTATTGGATAATGCCAAACTATGCCTTTAAAATATCCGAAATTTGATAATTTTTATGATACGAATCAGAGACTTAAAATACTCGTTACGTAAGCGCGTTTTGACAGCACAAGAGAAAGTATATTGAACTTAATATATAAACATACACATGAATACATATTCTATCAACTTACCCAACAACAACAACAGCAAAGTCTAAGATATTCCATCCATTTCTTAAATAAGCGTTGGGATGAAACACAAAGCCAAGAGCAATGATTTTAGTCACTGCTTCGACACAATATATCACAACGAATACGGTTTCTGCGGTTTCCTAGAAAACAAGGACACCAATTAATCTGAAAATTACTCGGCAAAATGTCCGTCGAAGATTTGTGGTAATTCAAATTCGTATTWAAAGCGGTCATGAAGAGAGGTTTTACCAATTTTTGGTTTCGTTCTGTAGTATCGTTTTCTGGTAAAGGACTATCCAGCATCAATACTATACAATTGACRGCAATGGTTACGAGAATAAAATATTCGAAGGCTATAAGAACTAGTCAAGGAATAAATCAACGCGTATAACTTAGTTTATTAATATAATGATACTTCGCTGTGGTCAAAAAAGTACCGCAAAAAACGACGATAAAAGTTCTAACACTGCGATTTTCTCCCTAARTGACATTTCTTTCTCACCCGAATGAAGAAATATCAGTCGTGATGGTCACATAGCCTATTATGCCAAAGTGATGAAACGATTTGATCTACTGAAAATCGCAGAATAAAAATATAGCTTCAAATTAACCRTAGATAATTAAAGATTTATCCCAGAATGAGAAATCATACGAAATTAAAGTGAGCAAGGCATAAAACTTTAGAACCAACTGYTCAATATGATTTSAAACATAAAAATTACACTGCTAGCGATCTTAGTCAAAACGACCGAGTCAAAAAGGCTCCAATGCACCTGACCTTAATATATACAGAACCACATAACATTCAAACTTTAACATATACCATAAAAATACAAAGGATATTTGGATTCCACGATCTTTTTGCAGTAGTGRCGAAGCGGRTTTCTTTCTGTCAGGCATAATAAAGATTTTTGAGAGACTGATTCGGGAGGGTTCGTCTTGCATTTTCCTTTAAGAAGCGATTCGGCTGTTTCTCTTAATTTTATTTCAGCAGGCTTTGGTCTGTTGCAGTTTGGTTGAAGATCCGCCATATTGAATAGTTAAAGTAATGCCCTTTCATTTGGTATTGTTTYTTAAAGTGCACCCATGTCTAATACGGAGTTCACATTGCTCTAACTTCGCCAAATAAAATTATTCGGGAAAATTATGAATTCGCTAARTCCACGACGTTGATAGTTATTTGCATAAAAATGAACCAATCACCATGACTGTCATTTATTAAGCGATGCTTTGTTGTATGCCAATGTAATTGGTGCAAAGGCTCTAAAGCAAAATATCAGATACCTCGTCTCCACAGCTGCCCTGTTTATTTACCAATAGAGAAAAAGCACAAAAGAAAATGGAAAATTAAATCGTGTTCCGACCTGCAAAATCTTGGAGCAGATGAAACTGGTAAGGTCACCCGAGGCAACATTGAACTGATTTCGAGAAAATCCTCTTTTTCTGATCTTGATTACTRGTATGTAAATTTTTAACAGAAGAAGAAGAAACACAAGAAAAACAATAGGAAAACGGATTAAGATTAAAAAAGAAACTCTTTTTGTAATTGTTACATAAAGCAACACGAGCGTCAGATTTTATTGAACTTAAGAGGGAAATTTTAAGCAGATTGAGACTGTCTGAGAAAATCCTCCGTTTATTRTTTTACAATAGGTAAACATTAACGCAAAAAGAGCACAAAGCAATTTGAAAAAAAAATGAACGATGTTATTTTATATTTAGATAAATTGTTTGTCGACCTGTGGCCACTTTGAATCTAAACGTACATGTATCTATTTGACAAAAAAAACTATATGAAAAATTATACTGAGTTACAAACCTAGTAAAATAGCTAGCAAAATCAACGTTTGGTATTTATAAAAGAGCGAAAATACAATACCAATCACGATGTATAATAGTGATTATAATCATAAACAAAGACCAAAATGAACTTTATTATTTAAAAGAAATCATTGGAAATAAATGAAAAATACTCGATCCATTTAAATATGTTTGCTAAAAACTACAGATGTGCTCAACACTTAAAAAAGAGCAAATATAGGTCATGAAATATAACGTAAAAAAAGCGACTGAGAGAAGCTATAGAGCATGTTTTTGCCAAAAAATCCTTTATGTGAATATCTTCTACAGTTTTAGGGTTTGCTATTCATCACATTCGCCTGTTGACGTCCAGAAACTCAAAAGGAACAAACGTAGTGCTAAAATATGCCAATGTATTTACTTCTTAAAGCGTCAGTGCTTTCAAACACTAGTCATATCTTGACAAGCACAACATAACTGGTTAATTCTGGCTTGATTCTCAGGCGTGCTACGTTTGCGATAAATACCGGACGCTATCCTCAAAAGGAAACCGCGGTTGCATTAACACATGGCGTGGTTTTAATATAATGTAGGATTTAATTGAGCATTAATCGAAAATCGAAACAAGCGAATTGTTTTTTTGGGATGCTTTTTTTTGTTAGTTTTGTCGTTGTTTTTGTGCTTTTTAATATTATTATTTTAAGAAAATCATAGATAAATATCGTGTTTTTTTTTCTTGTTATGATGCAGAGTGTTAAGGGAAACTTTTATAATTTAAAAGTTCGATTTCTAGTCGATAGGAGTACTCATTAAGATTGTTTCTTGAAAAGTGTCTTTTATAATTAATCTTTAAGTGTTATTACTTGATGATAAATTAGACAATACGACACCTTACGTACACGTGCGCTCTAACGAAACCTCGTTACCGTATTCACTACGATT